AGGTTTTCCCCCTAACAGATATCTTGGACGTGCTATTTGCTGCCAACTCAGCATAGAATTCTCTAATAAGAGTCAAGTTGTAAGAAGTTGGAACCATGCACATCTTTTCAATACCATGAGTCTCTACCACCTCTCTTATAAATGCAAACTCTCTAATGCTTTGCCTATCAAATCCCTTGTCTGGGAATCCAACTCTGTTTTGGAACTTAGCATGCATCTTCTCAGCAGCCTGAGAACTAAACCCATTGTGAGGTCTGATTGGCCTTGGAATGGTGGCTGGCCTTTGGGCCATAGCCACCCTCTTCCTTTTGGGTCTGGAGGAATGCTGCTGTGATGCTGCAACATCAGTCTCAGAGTTCCTAGGTGACTTATGCTCAATTCTTTGAGACCGGGTTTTCTTCCTAGGTTGGTCCTCATCAACTACAGTCCTTTTCTTCTTTTTATCACAGGTCTTCATCAACCTTCTTTTTCTAACCACAACTTCAACAGATGGCTCTTGATCCTCTTCCCCAGAAAAATCTTCATTTAAATCGGGAATGGGATCATGAAGAGCAAACTGAGGCATATCATCCTCATTATCGGTATCTTGCCCAGAGGCAGTCAAAAGCAGAGGTGTCGTCTATTTTTCAATAATCGTGATATTGTCAAGACTACATGCCTCACTTTCCATAAAAGTTTCCCCTGTTTGTGCCATAGAGGCAGGGTCCTCCTCTTCCTCAAAATCAGAAGTGAAAAGGCCCTCAGGGGGTGTACTATCAGATAAGGATTGTACCTTTTGAGAAGTCTCAAGTGATTCCTTGTTGGTGGTGGTCGGAGTTGAAGTTGGGGTTGGAGCCTTCTTTGGATTTGGCACTGTAGATGACCGCACCATGTCTTTGATTTTCTTCAAAGGATCAGTGAAGGGGATGATAGCCGCGGATGAAACCATTTTCAAAGGGGGAACGACGATGGGTACTTCTGGTGGAATGGGGTCGACAGTGACTGGAACGGAAGTTGGTGGCAGTGCCGACGACAGTGGTGGAGACGAAGAGTCTTCATCGATAAGGAGTGTTGAAGTCTCACCCTTTTTCTTCTTTGCAACAGCAACCCGCTTTCCTCTCCTCACCGGTTGTCTTCGCGAAGAGACAGGAKTACRTACGGCAGTAGCGGTGGTGGCGATGGGCGGTTGCGCCGGCRACTGTGCGGCTGCATGCGGTGGTGGTRGGTCACGCACTGTGGCTCTCTTCATCCTTGCCATTTCGATCGTTGGAGAAGGTGGGGGAGACGGTTATYGGTCGGTCRGTAMGGTTGGTAGAGAAATGGGAGGGAARTGAGAAGAGAAGAAAAAGARGGTTTTCTTAGGAAAACTAATGGGTTTTCAAAAGGTGAGGGTAAAATGGGAAGGAAGGTGATACTTGATGATGTCAACATTGGGAGCATGCAAGATGGATGGGAGTACTTGAGTACTTTGGCTAGAAAGCTTTCTTTCTAATCTCAACCAGGAGCTTTCAAACCCAAGTCATGTTTAATTAATTTTTGACCAATGTTGTTTGAGAGGTTGGTTACTTAAGTCTCATCAAGTGCCACCTATGTACCTTTCCTCTTACAAGTGGGTACAAAAATCGGCTGGCATTAAAAGAGATGCCATTTCCTTAAAAACTAATTTTTTTAAGAATGACATCATGCATTTTTACTTCAAAAATTTTCAGACATTAAAATTTTTAAAAGATTCTCCATTAAAGGCTAGGGTTTTCAGATGCTGCAGCAAGGCTTCAGATTCTTTAAGGTGACTGACAAGACTGCAAAACACACAAAAATAAACGCCAATATTATTACTAATATTACTAATTGTAAAACAAAAATAAATTTAAATATTTACAAACACAAATTTTTGGACTTATAAAAAGTCCAAAAATATCGAAGCTTTTAGCAAAGGGTAACAAAATTCACAGAGCATAACTCTGGAATTTCTACCGGATCATGAAATAACTTCACTCTTTGACCGTTGACTTTGAACACAGAATTGTCCTCGGGATTGACTAGGTCAACTGCTCCATATGGATAAACTTTATGAATGAGGAAAGGTCCATACCAACGTGACTTGAACTTTCCCGGAAACAGTTTCAACCTAGAGTTAAACAAAAGGGCTTTCTGACCAGCTCTCAACTCCCGGTGTTGAATTCTTTTATCATGCCATTTTTTTGTTTTATCTTTATAAATCTTGGCATTTTCATAGGAAAGATTCCTATGCTCCTCTAATTCACACAACTGGACTTTTCTTTTACTGGCAGCCATATCTGGGCACATATTTAATTCTTTGATGGCCCAATATGCTTTGTGTTCTAGTTCCAAAGGAAGGTGACAAGCTTTACCAAAAACAAGCTTATATGGGGACATACCAATGGGTGTTTTAAAAGCAGTCCGGTAGGCCCATAAAGCGTCATCTAATTTGAAAGCCCAATCCTTTCGGTTTCGCTTGACCACCTTTTCTAAAATTCCTTTTATTTCACGGTTTGAGAGTTCAGCTAATCCATTGGTTTGTGGGTGGTAGGCATTTGCTATTCTATGGTTAATGTTGTACTTTTCAAGAACTCCACTCAACAGGTTATTTACAAAATGGGTACCTTCATCACTAATCAGTGCTCTTGGGGTACCAAACCTTGTAAAAATCTGTTTTTGAAGAAATTTAACCACACTTTTTGCATCATTAGTAACACAAGCCATAGCCTCTAGCCATTTAGAAACATAATCAACAGCCACTAGAATGTATTGACAATGATTTGATGGGGGAAATGGTCCCATGAAGTCTATCCCCCATACATCAAACAACTCTACTTCTAAGATCCCATTAAGTGGCATYTCATTCCTTTTGGAAATGGATCCACTTCTTTGACACTCATTGCATCTCTGTGCAAAATTGTGGGCATCTTTGAAGAGAGTAGGCCAATAAAATCCAGATTGTAATACTTTAGCAGCTGTTCTTTGGCCTCCAAAGTGTCCTTCAGTGGCAATGTTGCAGGATTGCTGCCACTTCAGTTTCAGGGATGCACCTTCTCAAGATTTGATCTGCACTTATCTTAAACAAGTAAGGGTCATCCCAAAGGTAAGTTTTAGTATCATGGAGAAACTTTTTGAACATATGGCCAGAAATATCAGAAGGTCTAATTCCACCAGCCAAATAGTTTGCTATGTCGGCAAACCATGGTGGCTTTGATTCTAATACAAGAATTCTTTCATCGGGGAATGTTTCAACAATCTCTCCTTCTCCTAGGGTCTCCCTAGGCTTCTCTAATCTTGACAAATGGTCTGCAACTTGGTTGTCAACTCCTTTCCTATCCACTATCTCAAGGTCAAACTCTTGCAACAACAAAACCCATCTTATTAACCTAGGTTTAGCATCTTTTTTGGAAATCAAGTACTTGATGGCAGCATGGTCAGTGTGAATAATGACCTTTGTTCCCATCAAATATGATCTATATCTCTCAAAAGCAAAAACCACAGCTAAAAGTTCTTTTTCAGTTGTTGTGTAGTTAAGTTGTGCTTCATTCAAAGTCTTACTTGCATAATAGATTGAATGAAAAACTTTTTCCTTTCTTTGACCCAAGACAGCTCCAACAGCCCAGTCACTAGTATCACACATGATCTCAAAGGGTTTGTTCCAGTCAGGAGCAACAACTACTGGCGCGGTTACTAAAGCTTTTCTCAAGGTGTTGAATGCATTTCTACACTCATCCGTAAAATCAAACTTTTGATCATGCTGCAACAGTAAACACAAAGGTTTTGAGATTTTTGAAAAAAGTCTTTTATAAACCTTCGGTAAAACCCAGCATGACCAAGAAAACTTCGTATTTCCTTGACAGTAGTTGGTTCAGGTAGTTTTTCAATGATTTCAAGTTTAGCTTTGTCTACCTCAACTCCTCTTTTGGAAATCAAATGGCCCAAAACAATTCCTTCTTTTACCATGAAATGACACTTTTCCCAATTGAGAACCAGATCAGTCTCTTCACATCTTTCAAGACTCCTCTTTAAATTTTCCAAACAGTTATCAAAAGATGAGCCATAAACTGAAAAATCATCCATAAAGATTTCTATGGATTTTTCAAGCATGTCAGAGAATATGGACATCATGCATCTTTGAAAAGTTGCGGGAGCAGTGCAAAGTCCAAATGGCATTCTCCTAAAGGCAAAAGTACCATAGGGACATGTGAAGGTGGTCTTATCTTGATGCTCGCGTGATATGGCTATTTGGTTATATCCGGAGTATCCATCCAAAAAGCAGTAATACTCTTTTCCAGCCAACCTGTCTAACATCTGATCAATAAAAGTTAAGGGAAAATGGTCCTTTTGGGCGGCTTTGTTTAGCCTTCGGTAGTCCATACATATCCTCCAACCAGACACTATTCTTGTGGGGAAGAGTTCATTTTTGTCATTGGTGACAACAGTAAACTCTCCCTTCTTTGGGACACACTAGATTGGACTAACCCAGGAACTACCGGCTATTGGAAAAATTATTCCGGCGTCTAGCCATTTCAAAATTTCCTTCTTCACTACTTCTTTCATGACCAGGTTCAATCTCCTTTGAGGCTCTATAGGTTTGAAGTTCTTTTCATCTAGGATGATCTTATGTTGACATATAGAAGGACTATCCCCTTAAGGTCAACAATGGTCCATCCTATGGCTTTGGTGTGTAACTTCAACATATCTATAAGCTTCTTTTCTTGATGAAAATCTAGGGTAGATGATATGATGACAGGTAACTTACCTTCTTCTCCTAGATATACATACTTCAAGTGAGATGGGAGTTGCTTTAACCCCAAATCAGGTGGTGAAATCACAGACGGGGTAAAATTCTTAAGTTCATTATTGTTCAACAGTTCAAATGCTGCAGCATCAGATGGGACATCACCTTCTAATTTCTCAACAATATCATCACCTATCTCAACACTATCCTCCTTCTCTAGCTTACAGGCCTTCCTAACTCCTTCCTCATAACACATTGTCTCAATCTCAGTAATTTCTGATCATTCCTCTAAATAATCAGGGTACTTTAAGGAATTAAAGACATTGAATGTGACTTTTTGATCTTGGAGTCTCATGGTCAGCTCTCCCTTTTGGACATCAATCAAAGTTCCACCAGTGGCTAAGAAAGGTCTTCCTAAGATTATGGGAATATCTTTGTCAGCCTCAAAATCTAGGATGATGAAGTCAGCCGGAAAGATGAATTTGTCAACCTGAACTAAGACATCCTCAATCTTACCTTTGGGATAAGCTATGATTCTATTGGCCAATTGCAAGGTGACAGTGGTGGGTCTAGCTTCTCCTATGCCTAGGGTGTTGAAAACAGACAAGGGCATAAGGTTGATGCTAGCTCCTAAATCACACAAAGCTTTACCAATCTCCTTTCCACCTATAGAATAAGGAATAGTGAAACTCCCTGGGTCTTTAAGCATAGGGGGTATTTTGTTGTTTAGAAGCGCACTACATCCCTCGGTAAGAGCTACGGTCTCATATTCGGTTAACTTCTTCTTCTTACGCAAAATATCTTTTAGGAACTTGGCATAACTGGGCATTTGCTCAATTGCTTCAACAAGGGGTATGTTGATGTGCAATGCCTTAAACACTTCCAAAAACTTTTTAAACTGTAGTTCTTCCTTTTGGTTTCTTAGCCTTTGGGGAAAAGGAACATAAAGAGGAACTGGCTTTATGATAGCTTTGTTTGGTTGTGCTGAGCAAGATGGGTCCAAAGTGCCTAGAGTCTTGGTTTTACTTTCTTGAGGTTCAGATGGGATTACAACTTTGGTTKTTGGACCTGTTATAACCTCATCCTCAATTGGCTTTTTCCTAGCAACTTCGTCAGGGAATAACAAAGGATATTCTGACTTAGGAGGAACAAAGGTGGTGGTCTCAGGAAGTGGGTTATCCAAAGGTTTAGGTGGACTTTCAGTAACAGGGACCATAGGTGTAGTCTCAGGTTTAGACACAACCTGTTCACTTCCTAATGGTATGGTCTCAGTTAATTCCTTACCACTCCTAAGAGTTACTACCTTCACATGTTCTTTTCCTAGATCTCTCGGGACTTCGGGGTTACTAGGCAAAGCACCAAGGGCTCTACTATTTTGATTAATAGCAAGTTGGCTAACTTGTGTTTCCAAGTTTCTGATGGCAGCACTTTGTTGATTGAACAAAGATTGATTTTGAGTCATCATTTGCTGCTATGCTTGGGACTGAGCCACCAGTCCTTTTATCATAGCTTCCAAGGAAGATGATGAATCGGACTGTAAAGGTGGTTTATTTGAAAAGGTAACTTGATTACTTTGAAAATTATGTTGATGGTGATTCTGAGAATTAGAACTGCTTGCATGTTGATGTTGTTGAAAATTAGGGTTTCCTTGCTGCTTATGGACAGGGGGGGTTCAAACTTGGACTATTCCATGAAAAATTTGGGTGCTGTCTCCAACTGGCATTGTATGTGTTAGTGTAGGGATTCGATCTGTTATGAACATAATTCATAGATTCAGAATTGTGTGGACACAGTTCATAAGAGTGTTCCCCTCCACAACAGACACATTGCACTGAGAGGGCAGCTGGAATAGGTGATGTGACAGCTGACTGCACTCCTTGGCCAGAAGTTAGATTTTTAAGCATATTGGCCATATAAGAGAGTTGTGTTGTTAATGCAGTATATGCATCAACATCATGTATTCCTGCTGTCTTCTTTTGCGGTTGAGCACGTGGATCAGCCTAATGTCCATTATTAGCAGAAATTTTTTCAAGGATCTCATATCCTTCATTGTAGGTCATGGCTGTAAAGGCTCCGCCTTCAGTTGCATCGAGCATTTGTTTTGCCATGTGATTTAACCCATTGTAAAAGGTCTCGAGTTGAACACAGTACGGGATGCCATGGTAAGGGCATCTCCTTAACAACTCTTTGAACCTCTCCCAAGTGTCATGTCACACCACGCTAAAGCGGAAACACGAGGTATGGCAGGTAAAGTCTCATATCAATAGTGTATAAACAACACAACCATACAATTTAAAACATAGTTACATCAAAACTAAAGTTTACAGTCCCAAATACAAATTTACAAAATAAACATAAAATAAGATTGAAATTT